TACTGTGTATAAATTGTTAACCACCCCCCATAAATATATAAAAAAGATCAGCCGACCTGGAAGTGATTGGGTCAAATATCAGGAGAATGGAAGACGTGGTCAGACAGAGATCAGGGTCTGAAGCCACAGAGGCACATAGGATTAGGGGTGGGGACTGATGGGTAACTTGGCATGAAGGAAAAGGGCTAGGAGAGAACAAAGTCACGGGGGATGGGGGGGAAGGCAAGTGAGCAGGAGGTCAAAAGACATGGCAGCAACCAGGAGGTAGAAGGTGGCATGTAAAAGGGACAGAGGTTTCCACAGAGGAGATGGTGGCTAACGTCTGGAATTGGCATGGGAGAAAAGAAAGACCATGATCTCACCCCGACTCCTGAGGGAGACAGAGGAGCTTCAGACAAAAGTCAGGTTTCAGGTGGTCAGGGAGGTGAAAGAAAGAGGCTGAGGCTTTAGGGCTATTGTTTAAAGCCAGAAGAGGACCCCCAGAGGGCAAAACACAAAGAAGTGCCTGGGAGGGGAAGAAGCACAGAGCAATAATGGTAAAAGCACCCTGAGAGGGCATGGAAAAACACCAAGTGAGTCGGCCCCCATGCTACCAGGGGCATTAGTTCCAGACATCTCCTGGTGAACATGGAGGCACGTGGGGTCCCTGATTTCACCCAGCCTGGCTGTGATGCACTGCAGAGGGAGTCCTGTGTGAAGTGCATAGGGAAAACCCGCTCTCTCAGGAAGAGTGAGCTATGGTATGGTCTGAATGAGGGCACCAGGGAAAGCTGCCAGACTCAGGCTCCCAAGGAAAGGTTAGGACCCAGTGGGCAGTAGGGACCTTGAGAAATGAGACTGGTCAGAGCCTATGTTCACATCCCAGGCAATGTGGGCCCACTGGTTAGTCCCAGGCACAAAACCTGGAATACACTTAAAAAGTAAAACACAAATTTTCAGCTTAGTTAGGCCTTTGGTTTTTACACTATGTATATTAAAAACCTAGGTGAACAAACTAGATTTAATAATGACTCATAAAAAAACATATGAGGTATTGCACACATGTGAAATTTCCAGTAATTGAGCCCCACCCCTTTAAACCTTTTTAACATTTTTTATATAAAAATTCATTTTTAACATTTTTATATAAAACATATCTAATACAAAATATATCCTTTTACCTACCTGACAAATAATTATTGAGTTCAGGCATAGCACTACACACTGAATGAGATAGGAAACTTGCTTTCTAGAGGCTCCAGAGCAGTAAGCCTTCTTAAAGTGAACACACATATAACTTAAGTCCTCTGTTGACGACGCACAGCCTGCCCTTGTACCAAATATCCCTGGTTTGCTGCCAGTGCCATTCTTTGCCATTGCCTCACTCTCCATCAGTTCTAATTATTGCCCAGAGATGAGATGTCAAGCAGTCACCTTTATCCACCATGATTTACTGGCCTAAAAAATGACTTCAGAAAAAATTGGATAAACAATTTTTTTCTTTTGTAGTCAGTAATGGAACTTTACAAATAGTTGAGTTGTATATTAGCATACAATGCAGAGCTCGTAAGTATTGTGCCATCCACTTCCCTGGTCATCTTGCTTTCCAAACATCACTTGAAGAAATACCTCCAGATGCTTGGAATAATGAACCCGTTTTCATCTCACATTGCAAAACTTACAAGTTCAAATGTTTCCTCATTCAATGATTTAAAGCAAGGAGCCAGCCATTAAAAACCAAAACAAAGAGAAACCACAGAGTATCCCTTCCCTCTAAAAGCAGTTTTAAGAGAAATAGAACGTCTCTGTTTTCTATAGACAAAAATAAGACAACATGATAAGAAACAGACTTCAAGCACTGTGGTGGTTGCTGTTTCAAATTATTTTCTTCCTTCTCAGCTTTTGAGACTCATAGAATATAGCAGTTGCCCTTATTTTAGGTTTCTCTGCTTAGTGACACTGTCATATGCAGTGTGGGACAAGAAGCATACTGCATCAGTTGTGTATAACCACGACTTCAAGGTTTTAACCCAACATTTCAGAATACCTTGTCCCCCACCAGCTGCAATAACATTTAACTAGTAAGACATTTGTATAGGAGTGTTCTTCCTAGTAGGTAAGGAATATTGCTACCTACAATGTCAGGCACTGGCTGGTGAGAAGGCCCCTCCTTGCCAAAGACTCAGAGGTTTTGTAAAAGTCCAGCATGCCAATGCTGAGGACATACTTAAAGCACATTCCTTTCCTTTGATACCTGGTATTTTCCTATAGTTTCTAAGTTTCTACAACAACTCAGTCAAGACCTGGACTGACTAATGGTAACAGTTTTAAAAATCCAAATAAACTGGAAATAATTCAATAGGTACAGTGAGGTATATATGTATATAATTACAAATCCATAATCTCTTATGGACCATTTCAAAATCCAAAAGATTATAGGAAAACTGAAGTTCTTCTGTGTAAGTCATTAGTGGACAGAACCTAATCTGAATTCATATGTTGGCAACGCCTCAAATAAGGCTATCTTATGTGTAGATATTCCATTAATGGTACATATTCTTATCTTAAGCTATAGAAACAGTAACTTACATAGTTGGGGTGGCGGGGAGAAGGTGCTGCCCAGACCACTGGAAGTGTTATGTTAAGATTGTCTTGATGTTCTAACTTATTTGCTTCATTGTACATCAATGCACCACATTGCTATTCTAAAATCTGAAAATGCCTGATTCCAAAGCACATCTAGTAAAGATCACTGTAGAGGAGATGTGGACCTGTGTCAACACCCATTTCCACCCAATATGATTATCATGCAAAAATTATTTGTCTGAAAAGAGCCTGTTTGATTCTAAGTATATAAGCATCAGTAATAAACATGCATAATTTTACATGCAAATGCTAATATTTCAGCATTCTGAAATATTATTCATTCTGACCACTTTATAGCAGCAACTTGTTCTGCACACCAGATAAACAACACATACTGCTATTAGATGGCTCAGGAAACTCAGTATTTGGCAGTCTCAACTGAGGAGTCTGAGGTCTCCAGTTATTGTTCTTGCTAAGATGCTGCCAAACTGGGTAAAAAGCTGCTTGTACCAGCAATTTTAACCAGTTTATGTGGTATTAGGCAGAATTAAAATAATACTACACACTGCCTACTAGACACATAAAGTTTCACAACACAAATGCAAATTAATTTTCACACATAGTCCTAATAAATTTATTCATGCTGAGAAGAGCCTACTAATCTTCAGACATTCTAAAGTGCTATCTAAAGAAAATGAGCATAGTTTTCATACAAATGATATAAACAAAATTGAAGAAGGATTATATGTAGCACAGATAAAAAATACTGCATGCAGTTATTTCTCATTGTCAGCCATTCCTACGGTACCATGGAGCACCACAAATCCCCATGATGTCTCTTTAGATTACATCTTACATTTAAATTATTTTCACTTTAATTTAAAAACACAAGCTGAAAGTCTCAATTAAGCAGAAATGCGATGGACAACTCTCTAAAATCTAAAGGAAAACTTTATTTGTGTATTTGAAATAGTTAAAGATAAAGGCACTATCTTAATGATTTACACATTTGGTTCAATTGACATATATACTTTATTTAAATTAAGAACACATAACTTCAAATAATTTAGTTTCTATAAGAGTCAATTCCATTTTCACATAAATAATCCTTAAATGAAATTTAGGATTCGGAATTTTGGAATATCCACTAACCATGCTGCATTCTTTCAGGTTCCACAACTTTGTACATATTGATCTCCCACTCAGAAAACCCTTTCCACGCTGCACCTGTTCATCTTTCAAGGCTCAGATCAAAGTTACCTCTCTTGAAGCCTTCCTCAATTCCTCTGAACAGAATTATTCAACTTTTCTTTTTTGCTATCATCATACTTCTTTCACAGAGGCAATTTTGCTATAATTATTTTTTCTCATATATTCCCTGACTGGGCAAAAGGCCTATACAATACAAGAATGGTGATATATTCTTAGTTTCTGTTCCAGAACTTTACACACAAATGTCTCTCCCTCAATAAATATTTGAATGAATGAATGATCAAACCGAGTTAGATTCCATCATAAGGTCACACTCTCCACAAATACAAACATCTGGTAAGTAAGAAAACTTGTAGGAAATGCTAGACTCTTGTACAGCAGGAGATTGAAGGAGACACTGCTTAAAACAGAAGGCAGAATTCACAATTGATTTCACAGAATTCCTCCAGCTGTGCTGTGTATATTCAAGTGAGATGAGATGTTAGATGTTAAAAACTGGACAGAAAAGGCAGCTGTAGTAACTTGCTTTATTTCAAGTTTCCTCTCAATGCCACATCGTAAAGCATTCAAAGAGAATAATTTTCAGTCAATGATATAGGCTTAAAGAACAAGAATTCTCTTGGCTGGGCATGGTGGCTTACGCTTAATCCCAGCACTTTGGGAAGCGGAGGCGGGTGGATCGCTTAAGGCCACGAGTTCAAGACCAGCCTGGCCAACATGGTGAAACCCATCTCTACTAAAAAAAAAAAAAAAAAATAGCCGGGCATGGTGGTGCACGCCTGTAATCCCAGCTACTTGGGAGGCTGAGGCAGGAGAATCACTCGAACCCAGGAGGCAGAGGTTGCCATAAGCTGAGATTGCGCCACTGCACTCCAGCCTGGGCAACAGAACAAGACTCCATCTCAAAAAAAAAAAAAAATACACACTACCGTGATTCAGGAGGTCTGGCTGGGGCCTGAGATTCTGCGTCTCTAACAAGCTTCTGGGTGAGGCTTATGCTGCTGGCCTATGAACTACACACTTAAGGAGCACAGAGAGGAAGAGATAGACATATTTGTCTCCAGAGTCAGGGTTGAACTTGTCTTGGTTTTCATTACCATAATACCATGCCCTTATTAATATTCCTTTCTATAAGCTATCTTGATGATATCAATTATATAAAAATTACTGAAAATTCAACTGGAAGAAATTCATATTACTAAAAAATTTTTAATTGTTCTTACCTATACTCTGGTAATGCCATCGAAAGAAAATTCGTTCAGGTAGAAACTGCAGTATTTTCTATTAAAAAAAGATATAAAGAAAATAAACAAATGAAATTACACATTTTCATGACAGGCCCATATTACTCACTATAGGTAAGTTCTAGAAGAGGAAAAGGAAACTATTTATAATAACATACATACTGCACTTTATGCTGTATTCCTATGGGATCGTTTCTTTCACTTGCCCCAGGCAAGCTTGCTTACCTGAATGTTTTAAAGAGATTACTGTCCCAAGTTTAATTCCCTCCAAAAGAAAACAAGAAAAAAACCTAAAATGCTATTTTTATCTTAATTAACTATTTCTTAAATATTAAAATAATAATTTCCCAAATGACAGATTCCCCAGGTTTCTTCTTTTTCATCATCACCTTCCCATTTTCATTATAATCACTATTAGTCTCTGGACAAAGAACAGGATTGGGAAGAAAAGTGAAAACAAAGAGAATGAGACTGTAAACAACTCAGTGAGACAAGAAAATGAAATCAGTGGCAAGAATTTCATGAAATTAATGGCCAAAAAAACTAATAAGTTTTAGAATTATAGTTAAGAATATCCCTAAACTTCTACAAATTTGACTTTTGTAGATTCCATATACATGAGATCACGCCCTATTTTTCTTTTTTTCCCTTGAGACAAAGTCTCACTCTGTCGCCCAGGCTGAAGCACACTGGTGTGATTTCAGCTCACCGCAACCTCTGCCTCCATGGTTCAAGTGATTCTCCTGCCTGAGTCTCCAAAGTAGCTGGGATTACAGGTGCCTGCCACTACGCCCAGCCAATATTTGCATTTTTAGTAGAGACAGGGGTTTCACCATGTTGGCCAGGCTGGTCTCAAACTCCTGACCTCAGGTGATTCACCCACCTCAGCCTCCCAAAGTGCTTGGATTACAGGCATGAGCCACCACGCCCAGCCCTATGCAGTATCTTTCTGTGCCTGGCTTATTTGACTTGGCAACAATGTCCTCCAGGTTCAACCATGTTGTCACAAATCACAGCATTTCCTTTTATAAGGCTGAATAGTATTTCACTGTGTATTCATACCACATTTTCTATATCCACTCATTCACTGATGGACACTTAGGTTGTTTCCATATCTCAACTACTGTGAATAATGCTGCAATAAACATGGAAGTGCAGATATCTCTTCTGCATACTGATTTCAATTCCTTGGGACATAAAGCCAGAAATGGGATTGCTGGGGCATATGGCAATTTCATTTCTAGTTTTTTTGAGGAACTTCCATACTATTCTCCACAATGGCCGCACTAATTTACACTCCCACCAACAGTATACCAGCGTTTTCTTGTCTCTACATCCTCGCCAACACTTGTTACCCGTCATCTTTTTGATAACAGTAATTCTAACAGGTGTGAGATGATATATCACTGTGATCTTAATTTGCATTTTCCTGATGATTAGTGATGTCAAACATTTTTTCATAAACTTGTTGGCCAAATATATGTACGTATTCTTTTGAGAAAGTCTATTCAAGTCACCTTATCTTTCAAGCCCATAATTCTGAAAGGTATCTCATATCTAATGTTACTACATGATAATTCTGACAAACACTCAAACACACCCACACACATTCCAAATCCCACTGAGTGAAAAATCCCTACACACCAGACAAGACTTCATTCTTGAAAAATAAAATAAATATAAATAAAATATGTAATCCTTCCAAGATTTCATGAATAGTGGGCAAGAGAGATGATAAAGAAAAGAGTATCATTTAGCAAAAAAAAAAAACAAAACAAAACAAAAAAACCCTGACAGACGTTTGCAGGAAACATTACAGAAGTAAGGGGGAAAGAGCTTCACCTCAGCAGGGGCTTCATGGAATGCTTCCTGGAAATGAGGACACTTGAGCTGAGACTTAGAAGATGAATTAAATTAGCCTAGTGGATAGGGACAGAAGAAAGACCATGGGAGAATGCTAGAAGGCAAAGACAGGTTGGTGCCTTACCAGAACCATAGCAGCAGGAGGGTCAGTTTGGCTGGTAGGCAGGGAGAAGGGGAGGAGATGGGCCTGGAGAGGCAGGCAAGCCTGGGGGCTTAATGTCCTCATGGGAGCAGTGTGGTCCCTAAATGGGTTTCAGCTGGAGGCGAACTGGAGGCAGCTGAGAGGGGAGGCAGACACAATCACTGAAGAGAGGCAATGGTAGCATTTCAGAGGAGAAATAAGAAGGCCTGGACCAAGGTCGACCAGGTAAAGAGAACATATAATACTGATACGCAGGAGATAAAATTGTCAGGATAAGTGGGTAGAGGGGCTGTAGTAAATGGAGGTCTCCATGGCTCCCAGTGGCTTAGTAGATGGCAACACTTTTATCCAAGAAATCAAATCCAGATCCAATCTTAGACCCGAGGCAAATAAGCTGTCAAGTTTGATTCTGGACATCCTGCCATTTTGAGGTGTCAATGGATGACCTTACTGGAGATGTTCTTCTAGGCAAATGTGTAAATGGGTCTGGAGTACAGAGGCAGGATTTGGATGGTAACAGATACGAGCAGCGGCTGAAGCTGTGTGCATATGAGAGCTCTCTTTTGAGAGAGTTTAAAATAAGACACGATGAAGCTCTGGAGGTATCCGTGAGCTGAGGCTGAGGGAGCTCTGCTAAGAAGGTAAAATGAAGGTAAAGCAGAAGCCAGAGGCTAATGTGCTCGAATCCAAGGAGAAATCTTTGATATGCCAGCTATTTGTATGCTTATTTATTATAAAGATTAGAAATATTTAAGAGTATTTATATGCACAACTAGTTCTAAAAAGTTAAACATATTAGAAAATGTGGGAAAATTAACATCACATAACAAAATGATTTCAATATTAAATCAAGTGAGCTCAGTGTTAATCTCTTGCCTTGAGAACATACAACCTTTGTAAGCCAGACACCAAATGCCAGGCATAACAGATCCATTTATAAATTGTACAGAAGTAAACTGGCTGTTTCAGGGGGAAAAAATCAAAATAAGTCTTCCCCTTGCAATATGCTCTAACATTAATTTTAGATGAATAACACAAAAAAGTAGCTAAATATAAAAACTGGGTTGTTATGTCAAGTTACATGACATTAAAAGGGAATCAGAATAAGTAAAACAGCTCTCTACAGAATATCTTAATAAGAACCCACATGAGTACTGTCTTACCAACAGAACCTAAACTCAAATATCCCCATGAGCACATAGGATCAAGAACCCACAGAGCTGGGTTACAACCTACAGGAAAAAATCACAAGCAAAGAGGTTGGAACAAGAAATGCAAAGACTCTGGAACTGAGAATAAGAATGAGGGTCCCAGGAGTTAGGCTGCCAGGCCAAATGAGCAACTCTAGGGCCACAAATAGACATAATCTGGAGATGGCCTGGGGATCACCAGACTCAAGAGATGAAGACAAGCCTGCACCTGCATCTAAGTTAGATCCTCTGGTTCTTTAACTCAAACTTTCTCTTAAAAGAAAAATTTACTATAGACCCCAATTTGGTCTCTTTGATTAAAAAAAAAAAAATAATCATAATGGCAAGGTGAGTTTTCCGGAAAACATGCTGCAATGGAGGAGTTAGGAGTACAAATGGTCTACTGAGGACTAACACCTGTGAAAGAGAAAAGATGGCAGCAAGATTGGACATGGGAGCCTCAGACCATGAGGCAGAGCTGACGAATCTCTGCCAACCTAGTGGAAGCTCCGGAGCAAAGATGAGAGGAGCCCAGTGTGACCAGAAATGGCAAGGCCCTTGTACTACTGCCTCTGGCAGTTACTCGCCTGGGGCCATGATGCAAAGAGTATGACCAAGAATGGGAAGTCGAAGGTCTGAAGAGCTGGAAGCCATCAGCTAACGCCACCCTTGTAGCTGGGCAGCACATTGTTTCTTGAAGGGGAATGTGTACAGCCCATCTCTATGTGTGCCACAATAATCTTCAAATTATTAATAAGAATATTCTCATCACATTAGAAAGCTGAAGTTCTAAGAGATGGGCCCCCTACTTGAGAGACATGGCCTCTCTACTGGCAGTTTCTCAACAGCTGGCTCTTACCTCACGTTGATGGAAGCCTGGTCCCACTGAGCTCTCCCCATCCCTTCTGTGCTTCCTTCCATGCATTCACTCTGCCTGGGCAAATGGCACAGCAGTAACTTGGTGTCCTATTATCTCACGCATTCTCCTTTAAGGGACCTGGCAGCCCAGCTACATCCCAGGATCATATTCTGATCCCATCTTGCCACTTAATTTAAACATTTCATATAGGAAATGCTGAGAAAAGTAAAGATTCAGAATAGATCTTAGATTAGATGAATGCTTGACATACCCACTGTTCTTCAGATCTTTAATTTAGTCAGGAAACTAATTTGGCAGTGAAAATCATGCTTTTTAGTTTTCCAAAATACATATTGGTCTTCTTGATTTCGTTTTCTTTTGTTAGTACACAACAAAGAAAAACACAGAATGCAGCAAGATGACGTGTATCTACATGCTTGGATACTGTCTCTGCCACAAAAGTAATTTCCAACTTATTCTGAGGTCTGGCCTATCATTATCACCACTTCGGGGTAAGTTTTCAGATTCACAAAATGGATGGACTTTAAAAACACTCAAAAAGGTTTGGATATGAAATGCATGCCCAATATCTGAGTTACTAAGAATATTCCCAAATGGATAAAATCTTGTACAACAATTCAAAGGCTGAAACATTACGCACACTGATGCTTCTTCTTGTATCCAAATATTGCAAGAGCCATTGTTTAAAGTCTATGAGGTCAATAAAAATAAAGCTCAGCACAACTATCTATGTCCAAATGCTAAGCCTGTCCCTCAGAAAGCCCTAGATGAAGCCTACCTTTACTGGGGCAAATACAATCTGGCATTTCTTCTACTGCAGCCAATATTCTAAGCTATACTGCTGTGAATGCCACATAAGCTATTGACATCTTGTTTGTAGTTTCACTGGAGAGTAAAATAAAAAAAAAAAATCAAGAAAGTCACACAGTGTGAATAAATATTACTTTTCTGAAAAACACATG